GCGGGGGGTTGCGGGGGGGGGGGGGGGGGGGGGGGGGTTTAATTGTCTTTAAGTCTTAGTTGGCATCAAACAAACATCAGAGGGCGGGAAGCACAGAGTGAGAGTGAGTGCAAAAAAGTGGTCTCAGTTCGAAAAGAGCTGTCGAAAGATATCGCAAGATAAAAGCATATTAAAAACAAGGAAAACTTTCGTATCATTAGAAAAATAGAGGTCAGCTTTGGTTTAGTCGCAGAGTGTCTAGTGATAAAATAAGTCGTAGAATCAAAGATAGCTCTAAGAAAAGCCATCTGATTATGAAAAACTTTGTTAGATCAAGAACAGGCTTTTCGAAATAATAATTGTAGGATAAATCTTTTATCTCAAGTACACCATTAATTAATTAAGTTATCAAACAAAGCCTAGAGAAAATGAAAATGTTAATATTATATTTCAGAATTAAGAAATGTATTCTATTTTAACTGGTTTATATAATCGTATGTTTCAAAATCGAAAACATTGTAGGAAATCTAATGTGTTTCTTTGAATCTACTGTACTTTTTAGTCCATCAACATGTAAAGCAGCTAAAATAGGATATACTTTCTAAAGCAATTCCGATGTATTTTCAACTGAGTTTAAGTAAACTTACGAATTCTACATAAGAACAGCATAACATGGGCTATTGTATCGAAAGTAGGTTTTTACTAGATTTTTGAAATTGTTAATGAAAACAATCATTGCCACAAGATAGAACGCAGTCGATAACTTATGTTTCCATCCGATCCGTGACAACATTTACCTTTATCCATTGTGCTTAACAATCGTTTCCTATAGCAATAACAGAACTAGCAATGATCGCACTTATTTTCGTTAGAGCAACTGCGATTCAAAAACGGCAGAATTGAACATCGACATAGTGAAGGCATAGTCACGTGCTGTTGCTTTTGATCCCAATACATCTATAGAGAACGCTCAAATATAGTGTAGTGATATGAGGTTAATACTTCTGTTTTACAAGAATATACATTATAAAACAATACTTCACATTCGTTAGAATACTTCAATCCGATTATCATTATAAAATACTATTTTAAATGTAAGAAGATAGCCGCACAGTTGCCAAACAAATTATATATTTATTGCTTAGTTTCTGTTTATTAACAATCGAAAATAAATGACTTCACAGCATCTATAAAAGGAAAACGCGCAGTTTATTCTTGTTTTATTTTACATAGTTTTTTGACGGTTGTATGATACAGATTATAACATGATACTCTCATTGCGAATATGTCAATTATTAATTCTTGCATTTAGTTTAACTTTTGGAGAATCATTAATTTGTTATAACTGCGCAGTTCGTGAATTTGGTAATTTAGATTCAACTATTATTTGGAATCAAAACTATGACTGTAGATTTGAAGAAAAATCGTATGATTTTTGTTCGATAATTTTATATTATACAAAAACGTTTAATGCTCCTAGTAACAATGAAACAGTGATTGTTGAAATGGATGGTATTGAGAACATGCGAATGAGTAAACTGTCAAAAGAAGCCAGATTTTTTCGAAATCGACACAATCGCTATGATAAAAAGCCGATATCAAAACCCCGTCGATCGAAACGTCAAGATAATCCTTTTCATGAAGGCGNTACTGACCTTTTCTACACTATTTGTGCCACATCTGACTGTAACAACCAAGATACGATGCAACAATTACAACAAGAATATTTGTCGGTTAACTTTGATTTTAACAAATTTCAACCCACTATTGTAGTTTCTCCCGACTATACGACCGTAACAGCTGGGTCAGTCTCAACGTCGGTGTTAGCCACAACAATATCTACACCAGTGATAATAACATCTTCGCCAGTGACACCAAGACCTTTATTTTGTTATAACTGCGTAGTTCGTGAATTTGGTAATTTAGATTCAACTATTATTTGGAATCAAAACTATGACTGTAGATTTGAAGTAAAATCGTATGATTTTTGTTCGATAATTTTATATTATACAAAAACGTTTAATGCTCCTAGTAACAATGAAACAGTGATTGTTGAAATGGATGGTATTGAGAACATGCGAATGAGTAAACTGTCAAAAGAAGCCAGATTTTTTCGAAATCGACACAATCGCTATGATAAAAAGCCGATATCAAAACCCCGTCGATCGAAACGTCAAGATAATCCTTTTCATGAAGGCGGACAAGTATTTGGAAAACCTCCTACTACCGATTTTATTATAACCGCACTTGATATTACTGTTGCTACTACAAATGATGGTGATAAGTATTATGAACAAATACGCGAAATTAGTTACATATGTAAAACAGATTTTTGCAACCACTATAGTAATATTCAAACCCTGTTGAATGCTGCTGATGTGAAAATCAACAATAATGATGAGGTCAATAATTTCATTACTAATAAAGTTGAGACATCTACTTGTTGGTCTTATGCCAATGTTTCCTCGACTGTTCCAGAACCTTTCAATAGCTTTGGTTGTGGTGCTTCCACTCCTCCAACCTCACAAACATCTTGTTACTCTTGCCAAACGTTTGCTTTTACTCCAGATGAGCAAGGAAGCACGCAAGTATGTGGTATTTGTGAAAATAATATTGAAGAATTTGACACTTTAATCGCTGAACAAAGACTTCACCTTAGAAGCCAAGCATTATCTTATACTGACCTTTTCTACACTATTTGTGCCACATCTGACTGTAACAACCAAGATACGATGCAACAATTACAACAAGAATATTTGTCGGTTAACTTTGATTTTAACAAATTTCAACCCACTATTGTAGTTCCTGCCGAGTACACGACAATAACATCTGCATCGGTGACAGCAACATCTGCACGAGTGACAGCAACATCTCCACGAGTGACAACAACATCTGTGCGAGCGACAGCCACAGTTGCGCCAGTGGGAACAACTTCCGTGCCACGTGGCACGACAGCAACATCCGCATCACATGGCAAGAGCAGTGTTTCACATACTAGCATGGTAACGATCATATTTCTCTTAAGTCTACAAACAATTTTTACCTGAAATTCGGAAGAGTTAGAATTGTGAGCTCTGTACGGGTGATTCAAGCAGAAAATATGTTCTTAGTCTCAGTGGTATCATTTTAAGATATTCTATATAATAAAGATATTGACTACGTTGTTGGTTCAATAAGTTGCAAAATAGAAGAAAATGAAGTATAAAATACGCATAGCATCATAGACAATTGAAGATCTACTATATTCCTTATGCGTTTTTATTGTAATCGGACATCTAGAATTGGTCGACAAAAAGAGCGAACTCATTCATTTTATAAATAGCGCATGATTAAAAATTGACACAGATTCTCATTTTTTCACCTTCTGGTAGTTAATACTTAACTGTATTTATTAGTGTTTTAAGAAGTCGAGTATCTCAGCATACGCTCCTCAAATACAGAGTCGCTACTCTTTGATTTTTTTAAAATAACCTGAATGCACAAGACATCTTAGATGACAGGTTACACATCAATGTAAATTCGATCCCTCAATCTCTTATCGTTTTCGAACAAAAAGCATTTTTCAAGGATGTGTGATATCGAGCGTTGTCCCGGACAACACTCAAAAAATCGATTTTCCATTTTCTTCTCATAATGTCCATTTAACAGATCATGTTTGATAAGATAAGATCGCCTTGAGATAATCTTGAAAATGAGTGGAAATACAGCCTTGTAAAAGAATTTTTACTGGCATTTATTCGGCACCGAAGCCAGAAAGATTTTCAAGTTTCGCACTGATGGGCATCCGTGCAGATTGATATGTTTTCCTTGGCAGAGGTGTGCATCGGTGCCGAAAAAGTGCCGCTATATCATAAGAAGTTTTCCTACTTTATCGACATCCCTGCGCACCAGTACCAGTATTTTTTTAATCATCGTTTTGTTTTGACGACGTGCGTCTATATAAACACCACAGTATACTTTTAATATTTCGAATGTCGATTTGACTTCATTTCCCATAAGAGAAGTGCTGAGGCAGTGCCACACAGTTACGGCATGCCAGTGTAATGCTGGTACATATTAGTGTTATACTTTAATTAATGCAAAATTAAAAACTATAATAAAAGACTAACTGAATAAGTCGGTACTTTTTTGGCATAAATATATCGGCACTGCTTAGCACAGATGTGCACCGCACTGGAGCCAACTAGTGCCAGTGACCGATGGCATGCATTGCGCACCGGTGTGCACTGAAATATTTTTTGCAGAGAGGCTATCCACTACTGCAGCTCGTGACAGTGTTTTGCCTCAAAACTAAAAGTGAGAAAACCAAGTGCATATTAGTTTTGAGGGCTCATTTGCGTTTCACTATGAGCGTACAGAAATAATTACCCAGATAAAACGAAAATGCACTTTTCCTGATTTATCTTTCGGCTGATGTGTTTCAATCCACGGGCTATTTAATGATAGCAAGAGCTTTTTTTTCAAGTATGAAGGTTCATCAGAAAATGCATAGTCAAAAATTAGTCTGAAAAACATGGTACTTCGCATAAGTATCCTGTGCCATTCAAGTGAATGAATTTCAAAACAAAAATTATAGAGATTCTGAATCGGAACACCTTAAGCTATCTGTTAGTGGAAAATTTTGTCGATTCGACCTTAGAAGTTGGGAGAAAAAAGATATTTTTTTTTTCGACACGTCATTTTCCGCACAGGTAGGATTATCGGCACCAAAGTGCTTCTATTCAAAAGCAATGACATATTCGAAATCAGCACGTAAAACTGCGTCTAATGATGTGTGAAAGAGAGTGAAAAGAAAAATTGCAAGAAAATTTAACCGATGTTTACTTTAATCTTCAGAAAGCCTTTTAGGTTTCAGAATGCCAAAAAGCGTTTCTGAGTACTCATAAACTGTTTTAACAGATATTTTCGAAAAGTTAAAAGAAGATTCTTATAATTTCATTTCCAGATACTCTTTTTAGATTTTTGAAAATGCCTTTTTGTTTAGAGAGTAATAAATGTAGTATTCTTTAAGATTTAATTCACAAGAATTTCTAGAACGTCCGATGATGTAAGTTAACTGTTAATATATGACCTTGAATAATACTTACATCATCATAAACTGATAATACAAGTCAAGTTTTAGAAATATATCACTTACATAACATATCACATTTCAAAAACAAGATTAAAAGAGCAAAGATTAGAAATATGTTTTTTCAAGAATGAATATGAATACATATTTATAATGGATTACATAAATGGATGTTATTGACATATATTCATGGACGTTCTATTATATAATCGCAACTTTACCTATATATTAAAAAAAATTTGAGAAAAACATCAAAACATAATTTTTAATATTTCATTATCATAACATTAACATAAAAATGCAGCACTTATATTGTTCTGTCTTTCTCTTCTGTTTACTCTTTTCAACCATCAATTGTGGTTTAACAATATTTGGAGCAATAAATAGCGAAATTCCACCATATGATGTCGTAACAAAAAAAGATCTCTATGAAATTCGACAATATCATAAACAAGTTTGGGCTCAATATACATACGAGGTTCCACTGAACACTGATTTTTCGAAAGTTATCAAAGGGTTTCAACCACTATATAAATACATTGCAGGAAATAACGAGCAAAAATTAAAAATTGCTATGACTGCTCCAGTAGTAATGAAACAAAAAATTGGTCAATCATCTATTCTACGATTGATAGCATTTATTATGTCGCCATCCAAGTTCAAATCAATCGATCAATTACCGAAAGCTAATGACCTAAATGTGAAATTAGTTGAAGCAGATAACATTCAACAATTGGCTTGCATTCGATTTAATATGAACATGAATACGCGTAATAATGACAAAAAAGAACAAGAGTTACGTGCAGCAGCAACAAAAGATGGTGTTGAATTGCTTCAAGAAAAAGCTGAAGTTCAATACTTCGGATATAATCCACCATGGACATTACCATGGTTCAAACGAAATGAAATATGCATTCCAATTATTGTTCAAAAATAGATTATTTATTCAACATGATTACCGAACACATATGTGAAACACCTATAGATATATACTTTTTTTTCTGTAGATATTTGGGGTTTGAGAAAATATTCAAGCAAACTAAAATATATATAATTAATTATATATGTTTTGTGATAGCGAAGCGGATTTATTGAATCCTGAACTATTGAATGATTCATTTTTTCTGATCCTTTTATACAATCCTTGATAAAGGCAGAAGATGAAGCTTCATTGATCATAAAATATTAACGATGTAAAATTTTTTTTTTCGTTTTGCTTCACAGTTTATATTCTATATATGTTATCAGTCTGTTATATGCAGCACACTTATTATTTTCTAACGTGGGTTTAAGATTTGCAGACCATAAACTATAAAGTATAACTATAAAGTAGAGTTATATAAAAAAAATAAACACAGTTTCTGTGAACAAAGACACGTTTTTCAATATGAGAAAATAAAGAAACAAAATTACTTTGTCTTGAGCTCAAGCTCTAATTGACCCTGAAGTGAACAAGATACACAGGGTGAGAATTTTGAAATATAATCTTGTTCGATCATATTAGAAGATTTTATAAAATCTTGAAAGATCATCGTGCAAGAAGTGATAAGTTCTTGAAAGATTTCATAAGATCATATAAGAATTCATCAGACCTTACCAGATTATGTCTTTGGTTCTATCTTATAGATCCACTCTAGACCCTCTTTAAAAAAATCTTCTTTCCATAATATTTTCGAGCATGGGAAGGACTCTGACGTCCTTCGGTACGTGTCTAACCACGTTTCTTACAGTCATGCATTTTATGTGTGCTCAGCTGACGTGTGAAGTTGAAGAAAGAAAAAAGGACTAAGGTTTGTCATAATCATAAGAACTATGTTATACGATATATCGTAACAAAATTTATGTGTTAAGAATGAATCATTTCTTCTTGTAAGATCTTACAAGAATCTTGTAGCTTGAAGATGTCTCATTTTAATCAGAAATTTGCGGGCTACAATTATGCCTAATTGAAAAAAGGTTTTGGTTACTTTTTAGAGTTCTTGAAAACTGTTTTTCCAGAAAACCGGGTCCTCAAGAGTCATCGATCAGAATCCTTTTAGAATCTTTACTATCTCACTGAGGTCTATCGATCCATATACAAATCATTGGAATTGGAAGATTACATCTCGAAAGGTTCCCTCGTAAGCTATTTTCTCTAAAACCTCACATTATTTTCTAGCCTTGAAAAGTGCATGTATATCCAGCACAGAATATGTCAAATTTTTTGACCATTTCCAAGCATTATGGAATTTCTTTACCGGAAGTGCAAAACGACACGCGGTAAATAAGATCTCTTCGCACACACATGCTTTAGACTTCGAACTGTAACTTTATTTTAACTATTTCGCGCTAAAATCGAAAGCACCAGTTATAGATTGCTATTAAAAAACCCGTGTGTTATTCGGTGGTTTGCTCGCTATGAATCCGTTAATGCTGTCTATCAATCATTTAAAGAATTAGTAAAATGTCTTGAAGAACTAAAAGATGATTCAGATAAAGATACAAGGGAAACAGCCAAATCATTATTGAAAAAGCTAACATCCTATGAATTCTATGTTTTATTGTCAATTTTACACCAGCTGCTTGCCACAACAGCTGAATTACAAAAAGAAGAGCTGAATGTGATAACAGCCACCGAAATGATTGCATGGTTAGTAAACTATTGCAAAAACTCGTAATGATGACTTAACTTTACAAGGAATTATTCAAGTATGCTTCGACTTTGAAACAATAAATGTATGTTGAGTAATCAATCTTGTCGCTCTTTTTTAGTTAGCAGAAAAGGAAATAGCATCCTTTGGCACTGATATTGAGTGTGAATTTGACCGTTTACATCGTACACGTTTACGCTCGTGTCGCACTGCTGCCAACAATACATCAGCTTACGCTTTTACTCGGTAAGAAACTGAAATACCCGAGTTTCTAGGGAATTCTGTTAGAGGTATGCACCAGGAAATTACAGCGAAGACTGGGAAAAGGCTTTTTAGAGCGAATGGAAATCTGACTTGAATGACTGTGACGCTAACCATGGTCATTTTAGTGAACAATTTTATACAACCTTGTTTTATACAATTCTTGATCATTTACATGATCAATACAATGAGTATTTTGAAATACTCAATGCAACATTAAAATCGTTCAGACATATATCACCACTAACAATCGAAAACTTTAGTCAAACCGAAGCCGATGAACTAACGGCATTGATGCCTGGAATAGATGATTCACTGTTGTTGTTTCAAGAATTTCAACAGCTAACACCAGAAATTAAAGAATGTGCTGATATGAGAGCAGTAGCAAGAATGTTAAAAAGCGTTCATTTACGTTGTCCACGTCTTGCTCGTATGTATGAATTTATGTTAACGTTACCAGTCACCGTAGCATCCAATGAACGTCCTTTCTCAAAACTGAAACTGGTGAAAGATTATCTACAAAGCACTATGGCTAATGATCGATTATTTTTTTTGTTGACCTGTTCCATTGAAAGCGATTTACTGGATCATTTGGATCTAGCAGAATTGGTTGCTCATTGGACGTTAATGAGAGACGGTAAAATTGACCTTTCACAGTACTACAATTTTCCACTACGCAACAGAAGACACGAAATTTTCATATTGTCTAGTTTTTCGTTTTTTCTAGACTATGTGCAGTACACAGAGTAACGATATTGAGTAAGTAAGACAATGCACTCGTGCGAGAGAAAGAGCATGGTGTTAGATAGTCATTGTGTTTGTACTTTACTTTGTTCCTGTTTATTAGTTGTTTCTTCATGGATTTAATACTTCTTAAAAGATGGACAGACTAGGCTATGAACAGCATTAACATGAATGAACGGAATTCGTTGATGTGGGTGTCCTCCCCCACAATCACATACTACTAATCTGTCAGTATACCTAAAATTTTAAGCTCTATCCGAATTTGAATGTTTTAAATTTTGGAAACGCCTATTGTCGGAAATATACGTACGCGTTTCGAGGAAAAACTTAATTAAGACAAAAACTCATTTTTCGACTTAATTACGAAATCCTAAGTTCTAATTTTAGTCTCATTAGATAGAGCACGTAAAATTACATATGTTTTATCCGACTTTCTCTTCGGGAATATTATTCAATCATTTCAGGTTCAACTAGAGATTGAACTCAAAATAAGTACATATAGAGCAAATTTCTTGATGTCTCTTGACTCTTTCTTTCAATGTTGTGTACTTACTCTAAAGTTATCATTCAGCTCATTATTCAATTTTTCGTATGCGCCTTCACTGAAAAACAAAAATGTATTTCTTCTCTTTTCACATGTTTTGTCAAACGTATCACATATAGGTTGATACGTGTTATATACTTTCTTGTAAACTTATACCAAACGAAAACGTTTTTTTCTCAATCAAGTAACAGATAATATTAGATATTATCTGCGTGTTACTTGAATGAGAAAAAAAAGTTTCATAAACGGTGCATAATACACCTTATGATCTGTGGCAATAAAAGAATTATATCTCTGTAACGTGAACAGCATAGAGAAACGTTTCTTCGATCTAACGCTCGAAACTTACTGATTTTCAGATCAAATTAAGTAATTTTTTTATTGTGAAATTCATAAGACTTTTTTCTCCAGATTAATGTAAAAAAATTTAAGATTTCCAGAGTTGAAGTTATGAAAGGACTCGATGAAAGTCAACGATGCAACGAGAAAAAAAAGTGAGAAACGAACAGATTGCTTTAAACATTTAAACAGAATTTATGTCCTTCTCAAGCTTTCATGAGTCTCTGAACAAGAACTGTATATTTCTTCAAGTATTTTCAGAGAAACAACTTCACTACTTAATTATGTACTGTCACTACGGTTACACTACGCAGATAATCACGATTATCTTTAATCGTAATTAAAACATAATCGCGATTAAGCATTTTCTAGCGTATTATTTTAGATCATGATCAACGACACGTGGCAAGCAAACAGACACGTGCATGACCGCACTAACTCGAACCGCAACTAACTTTCTATGGGAAGCTTTTTAGACAGCCACATCTTCTATGGTCCAATTATTCAGCTAGTTTTGTTTATGTTCATTATAAACATGTTAAATTAATCGCAAAAATGTGCTTTAAATGAATTTGGACTTACCAATACGATTATCACTTCCCTTTGCCTTCTATTTCGATCGTGAAATAAATTTAAAAACATTAGCTATGCCAAATTATGAGTAAAGGTCAACTAATACACTCGTTCAACATTTTGCATTTATCATAATCATTTGTTTCTAGCGTTTTGTTCATAATAACCAAACTTTTCCTATGAAATATTGTACGAAAATTGAAGATGATTTGTGGTAGCTGCATCAACAGATGGCGGTAGATGGCGGTTCGATGCAATGGCATAATGAATGCAACAGTTTTATTGAAAGATAGGTAAGAAAAGTACATCTAACTTACTCATGTTTAATAAAGAATCATCTTACATAATACTTTCAGTGAAAAGAAGTGAGGTAATAATAACTGTCTAATGGTTGCTGATCAACAAATGCATTTTTGATCTTCGCTGAAAGATTTTTTGTGATTTGGGTTTTGGATGCTTTTTATTCTTATCTCCTCCATTTTTAGATAGTGAAACCATAATTCTTTCACTTGTATAATTTCCTTCTTTTTCTGGAAACAAGCAAGTGGCATTCTGAATAAAATAAACAAATTCAGCTACTTGTGAATTAATTTTACAGGTACTAAGCTGTATCCGCATTGTAGATTTATTGCAGTTTTCATTATTTCAGATGGCTGGCTATACTCGTTTTCCAAGACCTTTAATGACAGATCGTTATGCAGCCGATCGCCCAAGGTAGAAGAAAAAATTTTAGCTTAAGTATCTTTTCTTTCATTGATTGTTGCACATTTTTGTTGATTTAGATTTAATACACCTCAACAAGTACATCCTCAACGTAATGGTCAACGAAATTTTCCAGACGATCGTCGAACAGATAATCGGTAAGATAGTTAAGGAATTTTTCCTATAATAAATAGTTTACTTATAGAATTTAGTTACCATGCTTTATTGTGAACTGATCTTGTTTTTCAAACTTACTATGATTTTTTTTGTGCTCATTTGTCAGCAAAAAGGATGCTATGATAGTCACTAATTGCAAAAATAGTTTCTTTTAGCATTTGATTTCTATGGGAAGCTTTTTAGACAGCCACATTTTCTATGGTCCAATTATTCAACTAGCTAGTTTTGTTTATGTTCATGGTCATATATTTCCTAGCTCTTTCTACTTTAGAAAACTTTAAGACGTTGATATATGAGTCTCAGCATCCTCCAGTCTGTAGCAGGTGGGAATTCTGCTGATTTTATTTGTATTTTATTTTCCAGCATAACACACTTTCTTTCTTCATTATCGCAACTGCTTTCATTAACTAGAGTACTTTTCAGATTTCTCTGACTCGATATAATTATATTTACTATTGTTTTTCTGTTCCTATCCTAACCTAAGGGACTAGCACGTATTATCAGAACAGTATAGAGAACGATTTGTTGGAGTTATCGTATTAGTAGTCCGTTATTCATTGCAGCAAAAAAACCTGTTTTGTTACATTTTGCAGTTTTAATTTTGTTATGATTCATAACATGTAGAATCGGTATTTGTAAGAAACTGTCGTATCAATGGTTCTCTTGCTTTTCTGATTTAACTCGTAAAATCAAATATTTAACTTGTCTCTGGGCGCTTTAGGCCAAACATGAATAAACCAAATAATATACAACGAACGAATAGTCAAAATAAGCTCATTAATGAAGCAAATAAGTACGTTGCAGAAAAGAATGATTTTTATTCTGACGATATTTTCTTTGTACTTTTAGACCTGTTGGAAGTAATTCTTCTGCTACGGGAGGTTCAAATAATTCAATACTTCCTTCTCAATCGTCGACAACAACACAACAAGTAACAAATAATAAAATTCAGGCAACAGCACGTGTTAGTCCAACTGATGTACCAACAAAGTATGTACAATATCATCATAAAACATCTAGTATCGGGTAGCGCAGCAATAATGAGCCACTTTTGTTTCCTATTTTTGAGACAAGGTGTTATTTGACGACTGTGCTCTAGGCTCAAAAGATAGACTCTTCTGCTCTACACAATCCTCTCTATCCAATATTTACACGTTGTTCCATTATTTGAAAAAATAACGCAGAGTAACTGTGACATTGACTGAGAATTTTAAACTTTTGAATAATCATTTTAGCAGTAATGTAGAAACTGATGGAAGAGAGTAGGCATAGCAGAGCTATCTTTCTGACTAGACCACTTATCCATAGGATATCAAAAACTGAAAAAGAATTTCTAGCATAAGAAAAATCAGTCATTACGGATGGTGCGATGTTTAACAAAAAGCAGGAGAAAATTAGTCAGAGAATGTGGAGTACGTGCTCGATATGATGGATTTTATCGAGTAGAAAATTCTCTATGGGATGGAAGAGATATTGGAGTCGAAAAAATATTAAATACAGAAATAGCTTATGACTCTATAAAAAGTGGCCCATTTTTTCTGTGCCATCCGTTATAGTTATTAGATCTTCAAAAGATGTTGAGATAGTGAGTACGAATTCAGAAAAATATGTTAGTTGTATGGAGTTTTTAAGTAATCGCATACGAAGTTTTTTACACGGAAGAGTTATATTCTTAATCTTGTTGTCTTCTGTCTCTGAAAAATTGTTAAAAAGACAAAATTAGTAGAAAATAATCAGCTGATTACATTTGTAGTTCTTTCGATGAAGTCGATGTATTTACATCTGGCACTAAGTTTCAAAACAAAACTGACGCATATTAGTGTATATTTTGTTGATATCTCTGTTATTTCTAAACCGTCTGCATACACGAACGATTGAATCTGCAACTGTCGGAGAAAGTTGTCAGAAAGAAAATTTATTGAAATGTTTATTCGGCGGTGGAGCTCGTTATTCATCGTTGTCAAAATAATCGAGTTTATATTAGTGGGTGTTTTAGGGTAGAACCGACTGGTTATTTTCTATTTCACTCACATCATCTAAAATCATACGTGATGCATCAGCCTACATCTTTGTACATCCTTAGACTTTTCAACAAAAGCCTATATAACCCAATTAAGAAAACATGAAACTATTGTTCAAAAAAGTAGTCACTGATGATCAAAAATAGTTGCTATTCTTGAACAATATTATGACATATTTCCATCTTTTTCTCTGCGATGTCTTGTAATATTTGCTACAAAAACTTAATATTATTATTCTAAACTAGAAATAACCCTTGGAAAACCATGGACGCCCAGCGCTTCATTCATTTTTCGATAACTGATTTATTAACTAATAATAATTAATACCTCATTTCTGACATCGGATTCGAGCTCAGCATCCTCGATCCCCTTTAGTCAACCCTTATCCGGAAGTTCATTTTTCAATTTTTCAATAACTGATTTATTAACCGATAATAATTAATAACTCATAACTCATTTCTGATATCGGATTCGGATTCCCCACCCTTGGTTACCCTCTTGTCAATCAAGTTTTAGAGTCGTTTGTGTTTTGTGTTTTACCCAATACATTGGCGTTGTTTAGTGTCTTGGGAGTGTTCCGGACAGAAGGACAGATATGTCTGGGCTATTCTCATGTATATTAAGCCGTTTCTTTGCGTACTCTGTTTATTTTTGTACCTTGTTATTTCTTTGTAGAATAATAACACCTACAAAACCAAACACAACAATCGTGGGGACAACAAAGCCAGATGTTGTACCACCAACACCATCTTCATCGTCAATATCTGAATCTCAACCTTTGGATAGTTCTACTACGACCAATCCAACTACTGATCAACCGAAAATCGATACAACAACAGTAAAACCTGAATCACAACCGTCTGCAGCAGTTAAACAAGCTACTTCTCTTCAACCAATATCACAACAAACGCCTGCTGCACATCATTCTGCCATACATCATCAACAACATGCCTCACTGCCACAGCAACAACAACGCGGCCCAAAACGTCCAAGACCACCGAATGAATATCAGCAAGCTTCGGTTTATAATCAGGGTGGGGCTGGAGGAATGGGAAATTCTTCATTTGAACAAGAGGATCGAAAAGTGACACCTAATTCTTCACAGCAAGGTGGTGATAAAAAACCGACAACGGGTGGTAGATGTCGTCTATTTATTGGTAATGTGCCATCAGATTTAACACAAGATGAATTTCAAGTTTTATTTGGAAAATATGGTGAGCTAGTCGAATATTTTGTTAATCCATCACGAGGTTTTGGTTTCATTAAATTGGTAAGTTTACTTTACAGAATATTACAGTTAACATACATATAATTTCATTTTAGAGTTCTCGTTCAATAGCCGAACAGGCTAAATTAGATTTAGACGGCTATCTCTTACGTGGAAAACCATTACGTATTCGTTTTGCTAGTCAAGGCGCCACAGTTAAAGTTAAAAATTTATCAATGTCTGTGTCAAATGAATTATTAAAAGAAGCATTTGCAGTATTTGGTTCGGTTGAACGTGCTGTGGTAATTGTAGATGATCGCGGAAAATCGACAGGTGAAGGTATTATTGAATTTGAAAAAAAACCATCAGCACAGAACTGTTTAAATGATTGTACCGAACATTGTTTCTTTATAACAAGGTATACTTGATGATATATAACATAAACAGTGTGAGAAATAAATTTTTTGTTTAATTTTTTAGTGAATTAAAACCAGTTATTGTTGAACCATGGGATACAAAAGATGAAGAAGATGGACTACCAGAAAAATCATTGATTAAAAATGCATTGTATAATAAGTACGTACGATCAGTGACGAAAAGAATGAAATATGTTTTTATTCATGTATACTGATGAAAATATATTAATGTCTGAATGTTGCAATTTTGAGTTGAATGGAGTATATTACAGCTAATGGCTATGAGTTTTATTCCAAATTCGTTTTAGACTTCTCAGCTTTTCATACTAATATCATATTATTGAATATTTTATTGCAATAATTTCTGTACTTTTATCATGTCTTTTTTAGAGAGCGTGAATTAAAACCTCGTTTTGCTGATATTAATTCAATTGAACATACAATCGGTTTAAAATGGAAAGAATTAGAATTACAAGAAAAACAGCTATATGAAGAAGTTAAAAAGAGAATGCAGTATGCCACTGAACAGGTACAAATTGAAATTGACCAAATGTTATTAGAACATCAATCTCAATTACTACGAGAAGGTAGGAATCATTTTTTTACTAATATTTCATTTGCACACAATTATATGCTCCTAGCACTACTAATCGCTTGTTTAATATGTTTTTGACGTCAAGTAAAAAAAATCGAGTGAATGGGGTTTGTAAAAATATTTAAAATGAGTATACGACAGTAAATAAGTCATTCATTGTTCTACTGATTTGTACCAAAATAATAATATACTTATTATTTTTTTCTGTAATCAAATGAAACAAAAATCTGTTTTTTTAACAAAATCGTACATATATCAGTATGTAAACATTTATCACGAAACAAGACTATTTTACAGAAACATCTATTGAATTGTATCCTATTATGTGAATTTCATCTTTTAAAAATGATATTGTTGTTTTTCTTTCATAAATTATGTTAATCATTATTCATACTGTCCTGCTACTAAACAAGTTCTGTAACGAAGAAAACATTTTATTTGTTCGCTTTCATACTATTTAACGTATCTCTAATAGAGTTCAAGAACGCTATAGTGTTTCAAGTTTTATATGTAATTAGGTACTGTTTTTGTAAGTATTGTTCCGTTAACAGAAAAAAAAAAAGAAGATTTTAATATTAGGTCTAGTATGTAGTCAAACAGTAACGAGATAAACAAAATAAACGACATTTGGAAGAAATAGGAATGGTAAGATGTTTTGAACGTATAAATGTTTGATCTTAATCAATTACTTACTTTATACTATATTTTAATTTCATGTAATCGTAGCACGAGATAGTTGTTATGTTTACATATGATACGACCAAAAAATACGTTTCAGAAATGTTTGTAATGCTAAAACTAAAATTTGATATATTAGTGCTTATGAGAAGGATCAAAATGATTTATATGCATGATAGAAGATTCTTATCACAAAAGTTGATGTCTATGATATAATATCATGATGCAGATCTATTTTGACCTCGATCATGGGGTGGACAGGCAAATTTGACTAGATTGAAGGGAAATTTTATAGTTATGAACTTTTAAAAATAGAAGTTGATACGTTTTTGTTTAAAAAGTTAATATTCGGAAATATCTATCATATGTTTTTGACTGAGTTTTGAGAGAACATATGACTTATCCTCTACCCATATCGCAGGTGATTATTTTGCATGTTTCATGTAAAATAGAATGGTTATTGTCTTCATATCTAACGTTGATGTTTCGTACGAATATTACTCATTTGACTGTGTATTGACGTTGTTAAAATCAACTCTGATTGATTAAAACCGAATAATGCGTTTATTGAGCTATTCTATTTATTATTAGATACTTGTATATGTTACTAAGGGTAAAAAAATGTATGTTATTTTTCCAGAAAATTTGCATTTTTTGTCATTGTGTTTTTGTATTTCTTTACCTTCATTTTCATTTCACAATTAGAATTATTGCGTCGTCAAGAAGAATTACGTCGTATCGATGAATTACGTACACAAGATTTAGATCGTCGTCGTAATATTCAAATGCGTCGTCAAGAACATTATGTTGATTCATTTGGTAGCGGTGTTACACCACAAGTCGCAGCAGCTGCTGCCTATGCAGCACAAGCACTTCAACAACAGGGTAATCCACAAATGAATTTTGGTGGCGATGTGCACACCTATTCAAATCCATTGGCCAATCTTCAACAAGTACAACAACAACAGGGACAACAACAACAATCGATTGATTCTGCCTATACTACAGCTATAACACGTCAGGGTAATCAAAATGACCGTTATGCTGGACAACCGCCGTCACAACAAGTACGCGGAGGTGGTGGCGATGATTATTCTCAACAGTTTGATAGAAATAAGCGACCACGCTATTAGAAAGAAAGAAAAATACGTTGCATACAATGTGTACCTATATTATTAAATCTAAAAATGAGAGTTTGTGTTTATGAGAAATGTACTCTAATAATATAACTCTTCTTTTTTTAAATGATCCTAAAAACGAAATGAGCTTTCTATCTACCTAGTATATTGAAAGAAATGAAACCGTGTGTTTTTGTTTTCTGTAATGTTTTTTGTCTCTTTGTTTTTATTATTTTTCTTTATGCTTTTGGTTTGTTTTTTCGTTTCATCACAATATCTATCTATTGGACTATATATTTGTGTATATTCTTATTTGTGTAGACATTTCGTTTTCGTTGTTCGGTTAAAAAATAAACGAAAAAAAACATAACAAAACTGTTCAAAATGAGAAAGAGAAATAGAAAGAAAGTTATGTCACAAAAAAATAATAATGATCGATTTTTCTATTTGTCCGTTTGACGCGTATAAAAAAACTATTTTCGTTTATAATACCATCTTCATAAGTAAATGTGCTTTTTTAGTTTTCCGAATGAGACGTTTTTTGAAATTTTTTTTTTTTTAACTATTTAGTAGTTTATCGATCATTATACTAGAGTTAGCTATAGAATATATCTTCAACTTTGTAAAAAAATATTTCTTAAAGTACATAGATTTATTGATTATTAAAATAGACCACTGTCTTTTGAGTTTTAATACTTGGTCATTCTTTGGAGAGTATACTAGGACTTTTCGTCAATCGTATAGCATTTTCAAAACTAGTAGAAGTCATCAAGGTGATCACAAAAATCACCTTAAAAACTTTTCAAAATGACCGCATGGACTTCTCGAACGAGAATTTCGAAAAGCCAGCAAAATTGTTTTTGCTGTGACTCTATCATTTCAGAAAATGAAAAGTTCAAACTGCTTTTACAAATACTACTTACGAATATCAACATCTTTTGTAGCCAAAAGATTTTTCCGCAGTGTATGAATTATTTTAAGAAAAATTGTAAGAAAAACGTGATTTTTGTTGTTTTTCCTGTTCAAATATCTCTATGACGACAAAATGAAGATTTAACACTAATATATGATTTAGAATCCAACAATATGGTTTTTTTTCACAGTTTTGAAAAATCCAATTATGGTAATTTTTCTCAACTTTGAGATCAATTTTCTCAGAGATGAAGCATCAGCCAAAAATAAATGCTTCAGATTTCGGAAGTACTCACTATATACATCAACACTTCGATATGGGAATAGTCTGTAGAATTTGCATTGAGTCATGAGAAGAGACCGGAAGTTGGTGAAAATTGAAAACTAGTGGTGGTCAGTATTCACTCCACTAGCAGTCTAGAAAATCGCTGAAGTCCCGTTGTTTTCACCATTAGAGAGACAATGAATTGGAGATTCTAAATTATATATTGGTGTTAAATGTTCATTTTGTCTTCATAGAGATATTTGAATCGGATAAGCTCATTTTGAAAAGTTTTTAGGTGATTTTTGTGATTATCTTGATGACTTCTACTGGTTCTAAAAGTGCTATACGATTGACAGAAAGTGGATGTAAAGTCTGGTATACTCTCCAAAAGAACTACTCTAGTATCGTTCATAGAAAATTTACACCCAGCGTTTTTCTTTCGTTTAATAATAAATTATTTATTTAAATTTTAGTCTGTATATCTGTTTACATTTGTTTTAATTGAGAGAGATTTATATTATTGAAAAACGACTATTTACCATTATTTTACTATCAAAAGACTCTTGTTGCTCTGCTAACCGTTTAACATGAATGATATTTCTGTTGAATCATATGCATTCTATATTTTCCAGTAACGATTGATACTTCGATTCAAAAACAGGCAACATTTTTTACAAAAATAATATCCGAAACAAAGATTAATAGTTGCCTTTTGGCCTTAATGATTACCTTGTAAATTGTTTTATAAATAATTTTCCTTTTAGGCTACTTATTTATGATGATCAAGTTTGTGCATTAATAGGAAATTCTACATTGATGAAAGATGAAACCTGAAATAGGATAATTTAGGTTCATTTAAGAGATCAGCCTTGCTTTTGAGAATTTCAATATGTTGAACTAGTCTCTTTTTTTCATAAATAAGAATTAGCATCAAGGCTCTTAGCACGAGCATGTTATTTTAATTCGTTCCTCTACATAATGAAGTTGAGTTTGCTACAGATATATAGCAAGAGCGATAGATAACTGTTCGATGGCATCATTGTTATTATTTTTACTCGGTAAAGCTTTGTTCGTTCAACGTGAAGGCATTAGTGATAATTATGATTATTAAATAGTATGGTTAGTCCGATATTATTCAGGTGAACTTTAATATTGCTAAGCAACTGCATTTTTACGCCTAAAATAAACTGTTAACAATGATTCATCTATAGTTCTTGATCACTGTCTGATATGAAAAAGGAACAATCCATTGATGTTAACAACAGACAAGAAGTTAACAATGTTGAAAAATATCAATATTCATTAGTGAAAGGTGAACGTGAACAATTAATATCTGCGACAAAAATACCTTGGACAGCTGTAATAGTGGCGGTTATTCTGGCATTAGCAGCAATTGTTCTTTGTTTACCATTTGGTGTTTATGCATTTTATCGAATAATAAATGCGTATGATACAACTGATTTATCTGTGGCGAAAGATATGTCATGGATTGGTGTTATTATTGGAGTTATGTTTTGGACAGCTGCGTTATTTCTCATCAATAGAAGATGGTAGTTATCAATAAAAACAGAATCATTGCCAGTAGAAGTAGCACGATTTATTTTTTCATATAACTTTTGTTTATTCTACATACAACATGATTCACGATCAAAGAGATTAAGCAGATAAAAATGCATTGAGATACCTGTTTTTTGTCATTAAAAAATAATTGAGAATAGTTAAGGGAAAAATGTTTAGTGTATGTATGTTTCTCTGCCAGAAAAAATGTCTGCATTTTAAGGTCAGTTTCAGCCACGCTCGTAGACTATTATATGAATACGTTAAAATAAAGTTTTTTGCTCAAGATATCGAAACCGATTTGCTCAGAAACTAAAGGTTTCGCAATGGAACTGTTTGCGAGGTGGGTGTTCTTCCTGATGGCCGATAGCTTCAGATCTGTGATTAGTTCCAAATGAATTTAGACATTTAAATTTAATCATCATCCAAGGAGTTTTTCCCATTTCATTTGCATTCGTTTCTGGCACACAATTGAACATGAAATGTTAAAAAATCATCATGTTTTCGTCAATGAAGTGTGTATTTCTCAAAAGCGAAAGCAAATCTGTAGAGATAATTTATTTATATATTAGCTCAAACTAAAAATGAATTATTAAATGATGTCTAGTTTATTATTATGTCTTAGATTTATGTAGCTTGCTAACCTGTTTTCAGAAAAATAGCGAAAGAAAAAAGATCAAAGTGTGAGGGACATTGGTAAATTGTTTAAAACACCATCGAAACCGAATTTTTATATTCTGAAAGAGAGTGTTATAGACTGTCAACTATGCAGAAAACTCGATTTTAATTAAAAAAACAACTTTGTCAATTCTGAGCTGGGGTTTAAAGACTTTAAACAAACTCTTCTCACATAGTCACTCCAGAAAGATTGTTCTCTATAGGTAGTTGCTTTCCGATAGCATAGACTATCTCTGAGAGTATGATGGCTATTATCATTCTATAAATCGCGTTTTTTTGAGTGACTAAAGTAGAAAATATGACGGTAGATCATGAACATTATTGCATTAGAAGTAATTTGATCAACAGAATCTCATAAGATTATATTTTTTCGAGTTATTCTCATGACAATTGAATATGTGATCCAATTAACAACTGCCGTTCTATATTAATTCAACAACAATCAGGTATATATTTATTTTTTATTTAATTCTTATTTTATGGGCTCCTTTGACAAGAAGAGATGTACACTTTGTGCACATGCAGAGAAAAGCCAACGAGGGAACCTTTCGAAGTGATTAACGCTTTTCGCTCGGAATCTAGTGGGTTATAGGTTATCGACCATGTTGATTACGAATATGACCATGGGGATTGCCCTTAATCCTTCGACGACCTGGTTTTCTAGAAAACCAGTTTTTCAGAAACTCTAAATATATAACCCGAACCTTTCTTAATGAAGCATGATTATAGCCCGCAAATTTCTGATTAAAATGAGACATCTTCCAGCTTTATACAACCTTTCTTTGCAAAGTTATAGAATTTAGACGAAAAGCCTTAAATATTCATTGTCAGCTCAAAGCTACAGAAATAAGAAGAAATTAATTTAGGGCTTTTCTTGTAAATTCTATAACTTTGCAAAGAAAGATCGTATAAAGCTGGGAGATGTCTCGTTTTAATCAGAAATGTGCGGGCTACAATCATGCCCCATTAGAAAGGTTCGGCTTATATATTTAGAGTTTCTGAAAAACTGGTTTTCCAGAAAACCAGGTCATCGAAGGACTAAGGGCACTCTCCATGGTCATATTCGTAATCAGCATGATCGATAACCTATAACCCACTAGATTCCGAGCAAAAAACGTTTAATCACTTCGAAAAGTTCCCTCCTAAGCTCTTTACTTTCTTTTAAAATAGACCATTTTTTGTTTAGCCTCATTTGTAAATAAAAAAACTTTATCAAATCCTTTTACAAAAAAAAAGTCAATTATGTGACATGTTTATTTACCTAGAAAAATTAGATAGAAAGTTTGGAATGTATACAAATTACCCTAAGGAAAATTTAAAAGAAAAGCAATCTATATTTTTCATTCGATGTTGAGTAAACCATCAATTTTGTTCGTGTGTTACTATTACTCTAATAGATTATTTTTTCTTGGGGATAATAGACAAGATAAAACTTTCTTTCAGCTGTTAATTACGTAAGAATGAAACAGGTAGCTCTGTTTAGTACAATGTGACAAAAAATATAATCCTTGTCGTTAATAATATTTATTTTGTTTTAGTAAAAACATATTATGTCAACTTATTCTATGAGATGCAAAAAATTTGCACAACTTTTGGATGGAAGTATAAAATAATGAAATTAGTTAAAAATATTTGTATTAAAATAATTTCTTATATGATGTATTTGAAGAATCATACTCTTTGCAATGTGTGTTTGTTTTAAACACAAGAAAGGAGTAAATCAAGATTATCAAACTAAATGAGATGAACATAAACTACCATATTGTTTTGAATGTGATTTTTTACTTTCACCCGTTGAAGTATTCAAGATGTCATGTTGTTGTTGTCTAGTCTTCTTGTTATGCGTTGTTGAGTCGTCAGATTAACTAATCGACTGGATATTGATAAACATTGCGCATAGCCAAGTGAGAGCAAAAAGTTCTAGAAGCACTTCTTTTGCAGTGAGAAAAAGTTTTAGAAGACTAGTGAATCTATCTTTCTTTTTATTTTATTTCTTATTACCGTTATCAAAATATGTGCCATTGAGGATGGATATTTAATCTAGTATCGATAGTAAAAATTCAGAAAAGTAAACATATTTTGAAATTATACTTTCCGTCGAAATAGTTCTAGAATCCAAATCTAAATCTCAAAGATTTGAATTCAATAAAATTTTGAATAGTTTGACTAAGATTTTTGATAAAAAAACAAAAAATGAGAGCATCGAGTTTGACAATCATGATGAGTTGTGTAAAAATAAAAAAAAATTTTGTTATGGAAAACACATTGGATACATAAGAAATGATTGTGAATTATGTGAGATAATCCAGTATTATTGGCTAATATGGTATGTCTACGAAATGACGATTTATCAAGATAATCTATGTTAAAAAATTAAATTTCCAGTTTGATGTATGTCTGATATCAAAAATATATTTGTAAAACTATTCGGACTCTTATAGTTTTGTTATTGTAAATACTTTTCTTTGAAATAAAACCATAAATGATAATGTATTATTTTAAAAAATCTATATTTTGTGAGTAATATTTTCTTTTTTTTTATAAATAGATGATTATTCAAAATTGATTAGAAAAGTTATTAGGATTGATGATCTTAATAGTATGTATACGTATACGTTGACATACAAGACTATCGTTTTATTGTTAAAAAAGTCACTTCTTGACTTCTTGTAAAAAATTCAAATAATGGTGACTTTCTTCATTAATGAAGTAACTGCATAATTTTCTTATTAGTGAAGATATGTACACTCATTTTATACAACTCTACTAATGTAAGGCATGGACAAACAGGAATTGTATAGAATGGAGCATGAAAATGGAAATCTTCTACATATCAAGATCGATAGTTTTAGCAATTAGTAACATTTTTAATATTATCATTTGAATGATTTAATATTTCTAAATATCCTCTCATTTATTGGATAAAACTTTGTCTAACTCCGATAGTTTCTTAACATATTCACTGAATAAGTGTATACAAACATAGTACGAGTATACTTTAGATTTTAAAGAATGAAAAATGGACCGTGTATTGTGTCTATGAACAGTGATGTTGTTAAATATGTTAAGTGGTAAGTAACATTGTGTAAACAGGTAAGTGTTACGTTATTAAAATAAAAAGTGAGATAACGATGGTTTTTTTACTATATGGAAGAATTTCGTGCAATTATTGTAAAATAGTCAGACATTTTAATAGTTTCAATTAGCATAACGTTGTTATTGTATACAAGACTGTCGTAACCCTTCCAATTTTGGATGGAAGGCGCTTATTAATCTGTTTTTTTTTTGCCGAATAGGATAACATAATTTCTTTTTGCTCATTTGAAAAAATAAATAATTATCTTATTGATTTATTTAACGTCTATAATGCAATATATACATCTAATCCAAGACAAATGTGTTGTACTTCACTTTCACACACAGCAGTTGGTCTCCTGTGGTCGCTCCATAGGCAATTTATGCATATCTGATGATTTTTTTTCTCTTCTACAAAAAAAAAAAAGAAGCTATGTATATATATTTTGTTTATTATATCATCAAGACTAATCGTCAAAGTACCAGCAATGAAATTAAAAAAATAATAAATTCTAAATAAAAATGTTTGTCTGGTGTTTTTTCTTTTTAGTGATATTAATAAAAGTGTCACAGTATGATACATTTTCTCAGATATTCGCCGACAAATATGCCTTTGATCATAATCTAAATTTTAGTTTATTAAACAAAGTTGTGTACAATTGAATAAAATTCGAAAAGTTTGATCGTAGGATAATAAAGTTAGTGATGTGTTTAAGAATGATTTGTATATAGAGGTACTGACGATTACATTGTAAAATCTATCTTACAATACTAAACACAAGTAATGACGTGTTGTTAGTAGCCAAATGTAGTGATTGATCAGATTCTTGACCGGCAGTCAGTTCCATATCATAACAAAAAGACAGTTATTCTACTTACGTTTATGTTCAACTTTTTGACCCACTTTTAAGAATGTAATTTGGTTAGAATGCGCACGATTCATTGTAATCTTCAAGCAAAATTAGATCTTTAGATAAGAAAGTATTTTGACTCTTTTGTAAAATTTTAAAACAAAAAAATATGACAATTGTAAGATAACAGTTGATTTCTCAATAGAGTATTTAAATGTATTAAGTAACCATTGTGTATTGTTGCAGAGCATGGTGTAGTGAGATGTACACGATAGAAACGGGTCACTCGTTCGTATGAACATAGATAAAAAACTATAATTTTTATTATATATTCCTACAACTTGAAAACAACGTCTACTAAAATTTCTAGTGAAAAGATTTATTTTAAAATAAATGCATCCACCCAGATACCATTGCTTATTATTTTCTCTATGTAGAGAGCCCTTTCTATACTAAAAACAATATCTTTAGATCCTCCACTGTTTTTTATGTGATTAAATCGGGTTCAAATAACGTTTTCTTAATCAGTTCAGGTCTCTCTAATGCACGATATACTCTCATAAGTGTCCAACAGATTTTCGAGGAAATAAAGATAAGTTTTGATAGGTGACGAAATAGTGTGACTTCAAGATATTTTTTTATTCAAATAGTGAAGAATTTTCAACAGTTGAACATTTAGTCAGTGGACTGAGTGAAATAAAATCGCTTCCTTAAGAGATTTCAAAAAATAAAAGTCTCATTAAAATATATAATTACTGGAAATCTCAGCTCGTCGCACGATATATCAAATCTAGTAATCGCCCCCATCTGCTGGCTAAGAAAGTCATACGTTGTGTTAGTCAGTTCACTGACTAATTAGCTTAATCCTACATTTTAATGTAAAATAATTTTTTTTTCTCATCATCATTTCTACACAACGGCTATAATTACGCCATTTATCAAACTTACATGATCCTATTTTCTTTCTGATTTTATTTTTTGTATTTACTTGTTCTTGCGTTCGATGAAGTACATATATCTATTTATTAAACTAACGATGTCAGAAACAAATGAATTCTAATTAACACATTGACAAATAAACATCACATATCCTTGTTTCTTATTATGCTGTATATATTTAATGGAGACAAATGTTCGTGTAAATTGAACTGATTTATTTTGTCAATATTTGATATTATACATAGTCATATACATATACATACATTTTTTATTAGAATAAATATAAACTAGATCGAGATTTTTCAAAAAAAAACCCATTCTTTTCTCATCAGTTTATTTTGTTGACTTTCGTGGAATAAAATAAGATCAAAAATGCTTCGTTTTGTAAACTAAGAAATAAAATGTGAACGCTGTTAGTCATACTCACGAGCAGAAAACTTGTTAGACTTTGATTTTGTTCAATACTAATTTCTGAATTTGTAATTATTTTATTTACATAATGTTAGATCTTGGCTTCTTATATCTACCAATTGGTGAACAATCAGGCACTTTTTCATGATTTCGTTTTACCTCATTAAGTCTTTTATAGCATGAAAATAGTGACATGAGAGAGAGAGAGAAGAAAAACACAAACAATCGATTAAAAACAAACGATTTTATTCACAATGTATTCGTCTAAATGGAACAATGAATGTTATTGAGATAATTATTTTATTCTTTCAAATGTATCACTAAAAAATCTATCAAAAATTAAAGCATTTTTCTTCTTCGTGCACTTACACTCCATTCAGCAGTCAATCAAAACATATAAAATGATTCTACCTTTTGTTTTTTGCTTTTGTTTGATAATTCAAATCAATTGATGCCAAGAGAGAAAAGAAAGTTTTGAAACGTTTGTTGAGTCTTTAAAACTATTGACATTTTTCTTAGAGAGTTAAGAACTGTTGAATATATTACCAAAGAATAGAATTCACTATTAAAATTCTTCGTCTTCTTGGTTCTTCCACTGTTCTTTAGAGATTGTAATTAGTCGTTGCAATATCTACCGACTTGCGAATAGAGATAAATTTTATCACATACTTATTGTGTACTAAATCATCTTTTAGGATAGCAAATGCCAATTCCAGTTGTTTTGCGACAAAGAGTCGTGGAGAGAACGAACTTTCAAGAAAAAATCATCAATACTAGTCTTTGATTTTGGAATAGTTTTACTGAAGAAAATCTAAGTGATTTTCTATAAATTTCTGTAAAATGGTTTTATTAATGTAACTTCGACACATTTACTCTATTCGCTTGAAAATCGGATGATAATTCTTCTCTATTATCTATCTATATTATTGATTGATTGTGTATAACAGAATTCTATTCTATTTTATGAGAAAAAATAGGATATATTTTCATCTACAAAACCGAAATATGGTTTATAAAAAAAAAGAAATGTGCTTATAGAAAATAATTAACAAAATAGAAATAATCAATGATGGTAAAAAATAGACTATCTTTTATATATATAAAACAAACAACTAATAGCAATGTTTAAATGACATAGTTTCTTGAACAATAATAAATAGTTGATAATACTAAGTGATTTAAACTATCTAACAATACAAAACGATGTTTGTTTCGATGTTTTGGAACTATTTTGATTATTTTCAATTGATATTAAACATCGTCGAGATGAAGGAGATAATGTCACAGATTCTACAAGTGATATTGACGATACGTGTAAATCTTGGAGACGAGTTTGTACGATTTTTTCAACAATCATTTGACTATGGTCAATATCATTCTGAAAACATAAAGAAAACAAATGAGAACGAGAAGTGCTATTATCTGTGAAACTGAGTAAGGAAAGTACTACCTACTAGTTACCTCTTCAATATGTAACAGTCTGTTTCTTCATGAAGTTTTAACGACCTCCTCTGTTAGAAACCGCTTCTCGTCCCCAGTACATTCGATCCTGATAAAATCGTCACATACTGTGTCTTATCTTAGAAGGATGATGCTACAAAGTTTTGAGTCTTCCAATGTTGAGCTCTCCAAAAGTAAGGGTCAACAAGTAGATGTTCAGCAAACGTTTTTCCATTATTTTGAGTGCTGAAAAATGGGAAATAGTCTTAAAATGTGGCCAAACGTGGCATTACAGCTCAACAGAGACGGATTTCTTATTTTCAATCTAGTTTTTGAGAAAAATGAGAAGTTTTTCAAAAAATTAGCCGAAAATTTTCTAAAAAAACTTTTGGAAAATTAAACAGAAAAAATCCAACTGTTTTGAGTTGTCCCATGGAATCGAAGGATCAATCACTCACTTTGTTTGATTTGATTATTTGTGAAAGTAAATGACTGTCATACATGACATCAAATTTTGAATATAAACCTTTAACAGCTGACTGAATGCAACCGCATGCCACTAAACTTGGTAATATCGTTGAACATTCGTATTCTACATTAAAAAAAGGAATATTATTTATTTATATTATAATGTTCGAGTGTTGTCTATCTGTACTTACCACATATACATAAACATAACAAAATTTCAACATGTTGTTTAATTTTAATTCGTTGTATTTCATTAAATGGTAACTTTTTTAATATCAAATCGATATAATCATGTGGAATAATAGATGCCAAATCCCAATCAAGTTTATCACATATTGTCTGCTCGGCATCCTAAATAAATACCATCATTGATTAGTTCAATTAGAATAAAATCAATGTCTCATTCATTTACTTACAAATATTTCATCATCTGTATAATCATTTAATATTAAACAAATTTTATAATTTTGTATTGAATTTGTTAGAGTATGTCGAATTTTTTTTGCTATTTGATAACAGGAAAGTGCAATTAATTCTACAGATTTAATTAAATATGAATCATATTGAGTAAATAATGAACAATAACGATCAAATAAATTCATTGTTAATGGAAATACATCATTCGATATTGATTCTTGTTCACATATCTGTCAAAAAATATATTTTTATTTATTATCAAAAACGTCAACAACAGCAATCGTACGATGAGTCAAGAGATGTAGTTATCATTAATCTATATGTGTTGTTTAAAATCACTATTCTTCTTTTCTTTTTTGTAAAAATAGAATGGAGTTTCAATCTTTGCAAGTTTTTTATATTTTATATACAGTGACTTTGCTAACCATCTTTATTCAGCGTAAAGTAAATTTATCATATTATTGAGATGATCGTGGATACTAGCGTATACGAGAGTGAGACAAGGTTCGACAATGATTTATCAGTTCTCAAGTTCACTCATAAAATAGAATATTTGTATTGCTACGACTTGTACGGCTAACAATCGTTTTTGTAAGTGCACTACTTTCTATCAACATCACAGTAATTTTTGGAAAAAAGCGCATACAGAACCGGGTAAAATTTCATTTTTGAGAGCAATCATTTTTCTTCTGTTTAGTGAGAGAACAAATGTTGATAGATTATCTCTTGCAGGGATGTAAAGATGGAGAGGTGCGCATACCTCAACTTTTAAAAAATTATGGTTTTTCTACAGCCGATCTGATTTGGAAATTTTCTTTTTTAAAGATTAACTCCTCTTTAGACCTTGCCGAAATGCCTGCACATATGTACTCAGCAAAAGCACTTGAAAAATTTGCCGGTTGTAGTCCCTCTCCCCCTTTTTTTCATCTCCACATTCCTCATCTCTTGTCTATAGACACGTTTCCAGCGGAACGCTCTTCCTATACGACTCAGTTTAATTATCTTACATCTGTAAAGCAATATTGCTATCATTCTCATAAATTCAGCCGTACCCATTCAACAGTTCTCTAAATTACTTTTAAACTGATGAGACTATAACTTTTTCTACGTGGTTGTTGGTGTCATACACAAAGGTAAGTGGATATTCAATATAACTGTTGATAAAACTAATATTTATCTCTAATTTTAGTACAAAAATACAACATACCCCGTGTATGGAATTGGCGATTATTTTTCGAATATTTGATTGACTGTAATTCGTAATAGACAATGATTGTTTTGATGATGGTTTTGAATTTATTGGTGGTAAATAATATTTTTCCAAATTCAACATATTATTAAGCATATCATCGCGTAAATAATCATCGCTCTCGTTAATATTATTCATTCTAAACCTGTATGCTCTGTAACTGATTGATCAATTAATAGTAAGGTTGTTCAATCATTCAATAAAATGGATTACTCTACTCTTTCTTTTTTCTCTTCTTATTTTTCAAGGTTTTACAACGAATCAAATGATTTGCAAACAGCTGATGAGAGAGAAGAAAAAACCAAGATGAGAAGCTGAAATGAACATTTTTAATTATAGTATGTCGATGACACACGAACGAAGAAGAAAACAAGAGAAAAAAGAAGTGAATATCCAAGAACGAAGGTGCGAAAGAAACGTAATATCAACATATAAATTAGTCTATTTTTATGATTGGAGAAAGAGAGAGAGAGAGAGAGAGAGAAACGTTCTAAGAATCTGTGATCGTTATACAAATGAACAAAAATTCATCAAGCAATGTAAGAAATGATTATGGCAGTTCGTAGAATACCAACAAATATATCTAAATTTAGTCAGTTCTCTATTTAAAACTATTAACAAAATCTAACAGTTTTAACGTATGGAATTGAATGAGAGATTAATCAGTAACGATTGTAGCGAACTGCTTTTGTCTTATCGAAAAAACTTGTATTACATTTCTTAATGGATTTAATCCGATTGACCAAACTTATTTTTTAATTTCTTAGCCTTTCAACAAGCTGTTGCTTTTTTCTATCGTTTATAGACAGGTATTTTCGATTGAAAATATGTTAAATATTGATTTAATATCGCTCAAAACAATTTAACATGTTCAATAATTGATATGTGTTAAAATTTCTTCATTTTGTTTGTTTTTTATTAAAGAAACTGAAAATGACAATGTTGAGGTGTGAAGATCATGACTTATAGTTAAATACTTAGACTATAATATATAATTTCGATTTTTATCTGTTTTCTTCTTGTTTTCATAGACAGTTGTTTTTGTATTTGTTTTTCTGTCTATTATTTAAATTTCTTTATAAAGATGATATATATATATATAAGAGAGAGAGAGAAACACTATTTCTTAAACTGATCAGTTTGAATCACAGATTAACGATCACTGAATAGTTAGTAAATTAGAAGTTGAATTATTATTAAGTTTTAACTTTTTGTTTCGCTTATTAATCGTTTCTTGTTTCCTTCCAATTATTCGAAAACTGAAAACTATAAGTTGGAAAAGAGTTGGAAGGATTCGGCTAACTTTTCGAAAAACTTCATTTTCCTCAAGATGATTGTTTGATACAGGTACAGCAGTGAAAATTTTCACTATTCAACACCATAGAGATACATAAATGAGCGTGATAACAACACGGTCGCAGAACTCACCATTTCACTTCGGTTTCATATTCCGTGCACAATACAATAATAAAGTTTTGAGCCAGTATGATGTCCTAAGAATTTTGTTTTGTGTATACGTGTAATAGATGATCTTTCGCAAAAGAATACTTTAAATGATTTTTCGATATTTTTTTATGTAAATCTGTGAGGATGATCGTAGAAGTGGTCGTTAAATTCAATCGGTTTACCGATTATAACTTACAAACGGATGCAAAGTGAATTTCTTTTTAAAATTAAATGAAAGAGATTCACTTCAACGATTCACGACCCTCTAATTTTGTAAATTATTCATTTATTCTGTAATCTTGAGCGAAACCAGTTTTTGTTGAAATGAGCAAACGACAATAGAGTAAGAACACATTATAACGTCAGAACTCCATCACATAGACTCGTACAATAAACTAACACTCTATTTTCCTTTTTAGTACTCACTGTATTATACAATAACCTCAGAGGGAATTAAGTTATGTATAGTATAAAAAAAAATTCAAGCATTAATGTACGCATCTCGATCGGAATATGCAATTTGTTTCGAAAAATCACATGTAAAATTTAGATTTCAGGATCACAGATTTTGACGGAAGTTTTTATTTCCTTTCGAAAAATATCAGCTGCTTCTGACGTTATAACATTACATTTTTTTGGGATCGTGATATGCTGTTGCCTTTTGTGAATTTCATATTCTCACACCGAGGACACCGTCAAGAATTTCATCTTTCATTGCAACCATCACATTTTATTTATTAACATCTACAAGACAATTCTCTCTCTCTCTCTGATCATTATGCAATAGTGTGAGAAAATGCACCATCAGTTTAGTTCCATAGGTTTTTTTCATTGATACAGACAAAATTGATCCTATTGGGAATCCAATTTCAACATCAAACAGAATTTATCACCACTGATGATCTCATTATTATCTTTATCATCATTTTACTTTGTTCTAGGAAATATTTCTTGCATCGTATGTACCTGTTATATGGCTGTTTTATTCTTTAACAAGTGGTTATATTTTACATTATGCGTTAAAAAGATGTTATCTTCGTCTAAATTGACTTTTAATTTTACGCCTATTCGTTTTTACTTTTTTTTTGTTGTAGAGTGACTCCCTATTGTGCCATCATTTTTGTTTTATTTTGTTTTTTTGAAAGAATTTTATGTTCAACTGTGAAAAGAAAAAGATGTCCGGTGCGATCAATTAACTGTAATAAATCGAAAAACATTAAGATTGAGAGATTTAAATGGTCATTAAGCTAAAAAAACAGGAATTTAACACAATGAAATGTGTTCAATACAATAAATTTTTAGAAACGTGATGAGAAGAGAGTTTAAAGCATATTAGATTTTGAGCTTTAAGCTATAAAAATTATTTTCTTTTCTATTAGTTGATATTTTCTTTCTCCATTCAACACCCTGTTGTTGTTCTAATTTTTTAACAACAGTTATAAATTAAAATTTTACTATTGATATATGTCTCTTTTGCCGTCTCCGTTTCACACACACACATCTACCGCAATCGTAATATTTCAGCATAGACAAATTGACTTATAAAATAGCCGCAAAGGATTTATTTTTTATGTAATTCAGTTCTAAGAAAGACGCTCTCATCTTCGTTTCAAACGTGATGCCGACTGTCACATCTCGAAAATATATTTAAATAAATAAAGAAAAAGTGCCTTCGTTAAAATTTTTTCAATTTACATATCATGATTAAAATGTTAAATGTTTGAAAAATAGTGGTGCGTGACGATTATTCTTATTAGATTCATTGATATTCTAAAGTGAAGGATTAATTGGAAATATCACTTTTAATAAATCTATGTGACTAGGTCATATCTCTACAAACAGTAGAAACCATTTCATTTTTACCGCAAAAATTATCACTGAAAACTCCTCACATCCGGAGACGTTGAGTTTATCGCTACTTGTTGTTCATATTATATCTGTTTAGATTCATAAAAAAGTGTTTTGTCTTCTCTCGAAATTATCGCATCAATGTCAAAAGAAAATGTGCCATCATCCTTCTTAAAAATATAAAAGATTCAATTCATGTTTTTAACAAAACAACAAATGGTTATGACATTCTACGAAGAGAGTGCCGTCAGCGCTCATTTTGTCTCTCTATCTCTCTTTCTGCAAAGAGAAGTGCTTATCTATAAGTATACAAGATGATATAAAAACAACCAAAATGTCTCTCTCTCTCTCTCTCTCTCTCTCTATCCCTTTTTCTTTCGATTAATTGTTTATTATAATAGGCTTTGATCATTTTCATCACACCTGCAGGCTATAAAAATAAGAAAGCGTAAATCGAATAATGTCAAGATCAGTTTTTATTGAAATCTTTCTCAAATATGATGGTTTTGGTATAAGGCGTCAGTTTGAAACGATTAATTAATTTTTCAACATGTTTCTGTTATTAGTATGATATTTGTGTAGGTAATATTAGTCGATAATCAGTGATAATTTCTATCTGAAAGAGATAAAATGTTTGCTCTCCTCCTTCGTTTACGTAAGATTTATTTAAATTTTAGAAAAATACAAACGACGTTGATACGTTTGAGTGGATACAGATGAACGATTCTTCTCTTGTCTTCGTCTTTTCTGACAAATTATCAATTCCGGTTAGTAAAGGAAATACAATCTTTTACTTAAATTAAATGACTATCGCACATGTTCTCTTTAGCTATCTAATGAACAGACATTCGTATTATCATTTTAAATTTTTCACGAAACATCAAACATGGACATACAATCATCAACTAAAACACTCATCTTCATTTTGTTTTATTCAACACTAATTGTTGTCCTTGTTTGCGGATCAACGAGTATTTGATGTAAACCTTGTGTGTTTGACATTAATCGAAAAAAAAAAATGAATATTCATGACAGTAGAAGAGTTTTTGCATCAAATGTTTTGAACTTTGAAATTATTAATGAATGGAAATATTTGTCTGTCTTTCGCAGTGTGTCCACTGTGTGTGTTGAAATAGGTTGTGGATTTTTCTACTCTGAAGAATTTATTTATTTGTCAAATTTCCCCAGGATTGGTCTTTTTTTCATATGTTAGAACCTCAGAACTGACTCTAGACAGTGGTTATCGTCCGTGATGAAGTTTGTTTTTAGAAAGAGTTTAAAGATCTGCTGAAAACTGAGATTTCAAGGTTGTTGTGCTATTCTACATCGTAGTTATAAGAAATCTAGAAAAACAGCTTTACAAAACTCGATGGATTTACGAAGAAATTTCTAGAAAACGTTTGAGCAAAAATATGGTTTTCGACTTTTCTCATGATATAATCAGATTTACCAGACAAATTTATCCATATCCTGAAGTTTTGAGCTCGTTCAGTTGTTCTTTGACTGAATTGTGAATTTTTTAATTCTAGGTGAAAATAGCCTTGAAATCTCAGTTTTTGTAAAACTCAGTTTTCAGCAGATCTTTGAACTCTTTCTAAAAACAAACGTTGCCACGAGATTCAACATAGTCGTCTAGAGCCATTTCTGAGGTTCTAATATGTGAAAAGAGACCAAGCCTGGAGCTCCCAGGAATTTCGATGCCAGGCCTAACCGATCGAACGAGAGTCTCGCTTGACTCTCATTTTGAAGAGGACACTTTGGACTTATCTATCCATGGAAAAAAGATCAAACTATTTGTATTTTAACTTTTAGAGCTCTGACATAGTTTTTCAAAGATCCTCTGA